GAAGAGCGGGCTCCATCTTGCAGAATCAGCACCTGAAGCATGCAGGAGCAGTTGTCCAAAGGGGCTAACCCTGGCCATGCACAACCCCGTGCTAACTTCCAACAGACACCACAGCATCCTGCATCATGGACTAGGAAAGATTTCTGTGAAAAATATGAACCCACAAAATACTCTAAATTGACAAGTCAATACTTAAGGGGCATATGATTATTAAGCAATGCAAATAAATGCACTCCTGTACCTAAAAGGGCAGTTAATAGTTACTGAAGTTGGGCCCATGCAAGGTGGAGAAGAAAGAAGACACTGTGGGAGTGTTGGAGCTGTGCTACAGACTCTGGCTGAAAGCAACAGATACTGGCCCAGGTCTGCTGCTGCTATAAACCAGCTTCCTAAGAAACGCACTGCCTCATCACAGTGAAGGATCTGGCCCAGGATTTTACTACTGAGATACCTCAGCATTACTATCAAACGTTGGCTGAGGTCAACTTTCCCCTGTCCTGAAAGCATTAAGATGTGAATCCATGAGGTATGTGCTGCAGCAGCTCCTGTGCGCTCTCAATACCTTTCAGTAAATCACAAAATTTGCCACAATCTGCACCGCAACGTGATATTTTAAGAAACCACAAAAACTATAGTGACAGGAAATATGTAAATGATTTTCAGCATATAAAAGTTGCACTTTCTTTTATATTCTATGCATATTTCAGATACATATGCATACGGGTCTATCTGTTTAAACAGCCAGATATATGTAAAAAAGAGACGAACCCCAGTGTTTCAAGACAGTATAGCTATAAATATATATTAACAGATAGACATATATATATTAACACCTAGAACCTGCCTCTAACTAGCACGGCTTGTTTGCAAAGATAAAATTGGTAACATCAGTGAACACCACTCAGAGATGTTCTAAGTTATTTCTAACTAAAAATAAGGAGCCCAGACCTTAGTTGATCTGAACTATAATCACTCCTCTGATTTCACTGCAACCAGCCCAATTCATGCCAGCTGAAGATCTGATTATCAGAAGATCCAGTTCTTAATTTAATGTCCCCACTAAGGACTTCAGTACATGGACAAAATTTCTGATTTATTGAGACTCCATTGCTTTCTATGCCATAAACACCAACCAGCACAGAAGTCTTACTCATCTTCACCTTTGGTTTCTACAGAACATGAAGATATCAGATTCTACCCTGCCTGATGCCCTACATGATCTGACTGAAGCCACTACAGAATTTGCCTCATCCAACCATGTTTTAAGCATCTACCTTTGTAAGTCTGGGAAGACTTGATCACACTCTTTACACTCCTGGATTTCATGCACGTCCCGAAGGTCATTCTCATTCTCAAGCTTTTTCTGGAAGTCCTCCTCCACCATGGAGAAGGCGGAGTGAGGTGTGCTGCAGGGGAACTTCTGGTGGTCTACAAGCTCAGCCTTGGACTCAAAGAGCTGGTCGCAGTCCTCGCAGCGATACTGGCGCTCCTCTGGAAGACAAAGGGGTTGGGCACAGGGGGACCACATCAGCTTTCAGTCATTTTTGCTACTGTCCCATCAGGAGTTCCATGACAGTGTGGTTAAATGAATGGCTATTCAGTGAAAAAGAGAAGAACCTCAAAAGAAACAAGGATGCCTTGTAACGCTTTATAATAATGCTTTAATTCTACAATATATGACAGTGCGATACTACCTGTTAGCTGCCTGGGTAACATCCAATAGGGATCCCTAACACTGGCTTAGAACAAAAGTCAGTGGGTTTATATACTATCCTAAATGGGGATATATAGGGTATAAGGTGGATATCCAGTAGAGGCTGCCAGTCTCTGCCTTTCCAAATGAAAGAGTCTGACTTAGACATGAACATGAGCATCTAAAATAGCCAAAAGGGTGTTAATAGAGTTTTTTAAAGTCTCTTTATTTCCATTAAAGTCCTTCAGCAGCACCCAACCCTGTTCAAAGTAAGCCAGAGACACATGAAGTTGGGGTAATGGAGACAGGGGCCTTGCTTTAAATTCCATAACGTCAGTCAGAACATGTTTCTTACTGAAAATGAGTGCAGAAGATCATTAGAGTGTCACTTTGGAGTGAATATTGCATTCCACTAATTAGTAATTCCTGCAAAAGAATAGATTAGCTGACAAAAATACCAAAAAGCAAACTTAGAGAAGAGCATCCCATGATATTTTTTTCTGCTGGATTTTTTACTGATGGTCCATACAAGGAGCCAGACGCCCTGGTTTGGTTCCAGTGTTACCTGCCCTGCAGATATAAATGCCCAGGGGCTCTGAAGCAGAAAGGCCCTGAGGAGTCTGGCTGAAATCTCAAATGCATGTAGCTGGTCGCTTATTGACAGTTTAGTTGCTCCAGAGAAAGCACCATAGGGCGCTGTTGTCCGCTGTCCGTGAGCAACACTTTGGCTCAGTCTGCTTCTCGGTCAGCCCTGTGGGACATATTCCTGTGTGTGACTGCAGAGATTTCCTCTAGTGTCATTTATACAATAGCTACTTGACCATAGGGACTAGGCATGGAAAACGCTATGCTTGAAAAGAGGGACATCTTTAGCAATGACTAAACAAACTTAGAACTATGGAAAAAAAAAGATACTGCTCTAAATGTAGAGGCAGTTATAAGAAAGTGCAGCCCTTGATACCCCCTGCCCTGGGAAAACCCCTGTGTGCTGTCCCTGAATCCCTGAGAATCTGTAAAATGTCCACGTTGGCATAAACTGCAACCTAATGGGCATCAAGCAGATATCCTACACCCAGTCCCGGCTGTGGCTGTGTAACCCACTGCGCGACAGGTAGCAGAGCAAAAGGAGCTTTTGGAGGTGGGGGACAAGTCTGAGCAGCAGCTCAGGAGTTTCAGACCCAGAATCTGTGCATCAGATGAGTAACGAATGAGTGCGAGGAGGAAGAATGGCTCAAAGGTTCTCACACGTGACAGCAACATTAACAACCGGAGATCTTCTCTTTTCAAGAAGACAGAATAAGAGTTATTTGACTAAGTGACAAAAAATAACCTATAATCAGGGTCCATACAGGTCCTGCAGGAGCAGCACAGCCTAGAGATAAGGACATGGACTCTTGTTCTCCTTTTGCAATACCCACAAAATGATCAAGTTTCAATCTTGAAGCCTTATTACCACCCTCAGTTACATCTGCAGACCTCTGTTTCTGCCAGGGAGGTTTGAGTAAGTGAGGGTTAAACCTGAACAACATTAGGAGTTGCAGGGATGCAATGCTGAGAAATATTGACCGTGCAAACTAGAGCTCGCCAGATTAGCAGGTACCAAATGCAACACTGAACGAAGCTACTCTCCTGGGTGGACCAGGAGTGATGAACAAAATAAACAGAGAACCCCCAACACCAGTGCTGGCATTGCTTTTGAGAGCAGAGCCACTCTTCAGAGGGACTGAAGGAGTCGGGATAATATTAGACTAGGTTATTTACTAAACAGCTTTCCAAGAAACAGAAGAGCAGAAGATAGGCAAATACAACTGTGGTCCAGCTCTCCTCCCTGGCTAAAGTGAAGCCATCCTGGGCTTCAAAAGGATTCCAACAGAGGAGAAATCTCCCTAATATTTTGCTTAATTTCAATGATACTTTCTGTTAGATTAGACAGTAAGAAGTGGCTAACCGTGAATGTCTGGAGCCATTGTTTCATGTGAATAATCTTCACTCTTCATGAACAGTAAGAGCTCCTCTCCTGGTTCAATATCTGCTACCACTCTGTAGAATATCTGGGAGAAAAAAAAAAAAAAAAGAGAAAGCAACGTAACTACCACAACAGGCAAAGAGGCATAAACCACTGCCGGTGAGTACTACAGGATCAAAACCGCATGGCCAGGCCCTGCCCCAGCGTGGGTGCTGGCTGCCATTTGTTGGAGAGGTGCCGACTTCGACTATAGCAGGTCTGCTCCTTCCAGCCCCAAAGCCGCTGGTGCTTTGGGCTCTGTGAGGATAAAAAGGACGACTGCTTTCAACAGCCTCTGCTGCAAAACGAGCTACGTGATGACTGCAAATATCACCAGCAATTTGCATGCTTAGTTATACCAAACCCATGTACCAAGTAGCCATAAAACACATCCCTGAGTGATCCATGTAAGGGAGACAACTTCCCACTGGGAAAAGGTACCCGAGAAGATGTTGCTGATTAAACCATAGGTATCCAACCCCCCGTTTCGGTCATCTACACAGTCCAGAAAGCTGTGAGGTGAGAGGCTTATACAAAACAGCACGCCTGGTTATTCCTTAGCTTCAAACAGGAACCAAAGCAAAAAATAGTCCCAGATGAAGAAATGCCATGAGCAGCCAAAGCTGCTGGTGGTGATCCCGGCCGGTGGCACCTGGTCCCCCTGTACAGGTGACAACAGGCTCTGGGCAGGAGCCCGTCAGGGAAGCAGGAGGCTGCGGGAGGGCGAAGGGGCCACGCTCCCTTGGGTCCGTGCACCCAGGGCAAGCGCGTGCCGGCACCGCGAGGCTCTGCCGAAAGGAAATTCCCAAAATCCGTCTGGCTGCTTTCTGCCTCAGCAG